TATATATATTGAATCAATAGCTTGTATTTTAGTTTGTAGCTGGTCCCATAAGCTATGTAATTACTTTTCCCATCTAATACATTTTCACTGTATTCAAATGGAAACATATTTTTCAAAGGTACCATAGGAAAGATACCTTTGAATCTTTGAAAAGACGGTTGCAATCATAAATCCAATTTTATATAGTAATGAAATGCAGAACCATAAAGAAAAGGTAAGTAAGGGAAATAGTGATATTACTCTAATGAAATAGATTAATTAAAAAAGAAAAGGAGAAGATAAAGAAGAAATGCTTTAGTTGAATTTAGAATGATAACCACCAAAGATTCTAAAACAATAAGTGAGGATTTGATATTTATTCCTAAATTTCTTGGATTATTCAGGCCTGGAGACTCTGTTGGTAACCTACTTGGATTTCATCAATAGTGGAAAAGTGCCCTGTCTGGAAAATGCTGTGACAATCCTAGCCCAGCGTGAGAACTTGGCAGCTGTGGAGAAAGCAGCTAAGCATTACAGTGAGCAGATGGCCCAGTGTGCCAAGTTCCCCACAGACACACTCCAGGAACTGCTGGATATGCATACGGCCTGTGAGAAGAAAGCCATTCATGTCTTCATGGAGCACTCCTTCAAGGATGAAAATTATGAGTTCCAGAAACAGCTTGTGGTACTTCTCTTAGCACTTACCTTTCTTATCCCTGTCCTAAAATAATGTCTGCAGTCCACCTTTTGATCCCCTGTTTCATGTCTTTCAATGTACTAGATGAGCCTGGATTTCAGTGAGTGAGAGGCCTCTACAGAGCTTCAGTTCATCTCTTTTTTAAAAGATGTACACTTTTTAAAAAGCTTTTGAACAACATATTTCTATAAATTTAGCATTAACAGACTTATTACCTCACAGATTTTATTTCAGAAACTCATTACAGATTTTATGAGTTTTCTGCTCTGCATCTCACAAGCTGAAATCAAGGTAGTAACTAGGTTTTCTTCTCATCTGGAGGATCTAGGGAACCTCATTCTGTCTTCATGCCAAAAATGATTCTTCAAATCTTTCTTTAGTCTAATATTTCTGACTTCCTCTTCCGTCAGTATTGTAAAAACTCTATTTTTAATGGTTTCATGTAAGGAGCTCTGATAGCATAGTGGTTACGAGTTGGGCTGCTAAAATCTAGGTCAGCAGTTTTAAATTACCAGCTGTCCCACTGCAGAAAGACCAGTCTTCTGCTCCCAGAATGATTTATAGCCTTGGAAATTTTATACAGAACTAACTCCACAGGACATACCGCCACCATCGCCATGTAATTAGATAATGTTCAGTTAAAAACTCTCCATTTCTTAAAGTCGATTAGTGCAAAATAGCCTAACCCAACCTTGGAAATAAAATCTATTATATTCAAAGTATCAAAGACTATAAAATATGTGGTCACCAGACATTTAGAGGAGCATCTTTTTTCTGCTTCCGCATTGGTACTTTCAATGAAAGTTTGTCATTCAGTCCATCTTTTGCCTACAAGTGACAAAAATATTAATTCACATTGTATATGACTATTTTGGAATCCTGGAGTGGTGTTGTGGATTAATGTGCTGGACTAAAAGGAACCAACTCCACAGCACTTAAGAATTACTATTTTATTATAATTCATAAGGGCAAGCAAAAAAAAAAAAAAAAAATCTGTTGCCCTTTCTTTGCATGCTGTTGTAGTTAAGTGCCATCTAATCAGTTCTGATTCATAGTGACCCTGTATAGGGTTTCCAAAGAGAGGCTGGGGAATTTGAACTTCTGACCTTGGGGTTCACACTTACCTTGTGGTCCAGTGCTTTACGCCACAATATCACACCAGGACTCCTCATACTTAAAGCCTAATTGAGAGAATTCATGAAGTCTTCTAAAGTCTACTCAGAGTATATTTAAGTCATATTATAATGGTTGTTTCCCATGTTTTAATTTTCATCCTTAGCAGACCAGGTTCTCTGAGGTAACTCTCTTTCCAGAGAAATTCACTTTCTGTTACTGATTGCAATAGTTGAATCAATGTTAGTCACAGGATACCACTAAAGCAACCTTAGAATTTATGTCACACACACACACACACACACACCAATAATGTTATATATGACAGAACTGACCTGTGTCTAACATAACTCTCCTAACTCCTCTCTGAAACTGTCAACCTGCTTCTGTACTAGGCCTGCTTGGACTATCCTTCTAACTGATTCTTTCTATGGTGTGTCTTTATTATTCCCTGCAGGGCACCATAGAGAAAAAGAAGGAGGAGTTTATACTGCAGAATGAAGAGGCATCAGACAAATACTGTCAGGCTAAGCTTACCGAGCTTTCTGAGTCTCTGATGGAAAGTATTTCAAGAGGAGCTTTCTCTGTTCCTGGAGGACACAATCTCTACTTAGAAGTAAAAAAAAGAGTTGAACAAGACTATATGGGAGTTCCCAGGAAAGGAGTTAAGGTAAGGAATAAGGGAAGGGAAGAGAAGGCCAGGAAAATAGAGGCAGGTGATCTTCGCCCTTCTGAAAATCATAATATCACAGCACCAGTGTTGTTGTTAAGTGCCATCAACTCATAGTGACCTTATATACAACTGAATGAAACACTGCCCACTCCAGTGCAATCCTCACAACTGTAATGTTTGAGCAAATTGTTTAATCACTGTATCAATCCATCTCACTGAAGATCTTCTTGTTTTTTGTTTTGTTTTTTGATGAACTCCCACTTTACCAACAATGAAGTCTTAGTTCAGCCATGAATCCTCTCTTAGATATCTCGTGCTGCTATAACAGAAATATCCCAAGTGTTTAGCTTTAATGATAAATTTATTTTCTCACAGTTTAAGAGACTTGAAGTTCAAATTTGGGGCAGTATCTCTGCAGAGATGTCCTTGTCTCTTTTCAGCATCAATAGGCCCAGTATTCCTTCAAGATCTCCAAACATCTTGGCATCAGTCTTCTCCTGGATCAAGGAACATCACAGTTCAGGAACTCTAGGTTGAAAGGACATACTCCAATCCTGGTTCTTCTATTTTGATGGTATTTGTTGTTGTTGTTGTTATGAAGTGCCATTGAGTCGAATCCGATCCATAGTGACCTTGTATAGGGTTTCCAGGGAGCAGATCATGAGCTTGAACCACCGACCTTGCAGTTCAACCAACTTTGCAGTCTGGTGCATTAACCTAGACCCTCTTTTTCGACTCAACCTTGGGAATATCAGCAGTGGGGAGCACTCACTTCTTATACTAGTCATGGTCTTATGTGTTTTTGTTGAATTATAACTTAATTATCTGACAAATATTTGCATTACATGTATATATAATAATACTAAAGTGTATTATTTATTTATTTCATAATTTAGTATATATACTCATATGAAGCTACAGTGATCTGCTTCTGTAAAGATTAAAGATTAGAAACTCTACAGGGTAGTTCTACTCTGTCTCAGTGTTGCTATGAGTCAGAATCTATTCAATAGCCTTTAACAATGCAGCAATATTGTTACAGTATTACTACTGTAATCCACATTATACAGTGGAGAAACATGATGCCTGGAGAAGTTAAGTTGCTCAATGTCACACAGCAATCTAGTGTACAACTGGTAGGGCAGTTCAGAAAACTTTGCACCTATTCCAAATTGGGAATTCATCTAATGAAAGCTCCTTGCAAGAGGAGATAGGCAATGCAAGTTGAAGAATTGATAAATGTTATACAAGTTAAGAAAGAACAGACCAACATTTAGGTAGAAGAAAAAGAATATGAAACAACAAACATTATGTGACTATAAAATTGGGCACAAATCTGTTTGCTTGTTGTCTGGAAAGAAAGTGGACAGCATCATTGGGAGAGGTGGCTGGAAATCCAGGAAAGAGGCTATTGTGGAGTGTTTTCTTGGCTTCAAATGGGCTTGGAATTTATACTGTGATCACAGAAAAAAAAAGGAGTATCATAAGCAGGTTTCTAAGTATTCATGGTTAGATTTGGGATTATACAGAATAATATTCTTCCACCAAAGAATAGATCTCTGCTTCTGGACATCAATTTGCTCATTGTTGATTCCTTAGGTGAATGAAGTCCTCCAGAGATTCCTACAGTCCCAGGTGCCCATCGAGGAATCCATCCTGCAGTCAGATAGAGCCCTCACGGACAGTCAAAAGGTCATTGCAGGTACAGAGGCAGGAGTCAGCCCACAGAGGAGCAGGGGGAGGCCCCTGCCATGCCTTCTAATATATCTGAGAATAAGGTCTTCTCTTCTTCTATGGGACACACATACTGCTGAATCTGTTAAGAACCAGAGGGAATTGTGGTTGTATGTTCAACTAGACAAGCAAGGCTTTTCCTATCATATTCTGAAGTGTTCCTGATGGTGTGTATGTGAGGAGAATACAGAGACTTGCACTGTCTCTTTTTCAAAATCAGTTTTATTCCTGAGCTCAGGAGGGTAGAAATTAGACCTAACCTGTTGTTTTCTTTCCTCTCTAAAACCTTTGTTGGACAGCGGAGCAGATCACAAAGGAAAGAGCAGAAAAGGAAAAGGAACTTCTGAAACAGAAAACTAAGGAGCAAGAGCAAAAGATGGAGACCCAAAAGAGAAGCTTAGAGGAAAATATGGAACAACTGAAAGAGAAAATGCAGAGGGACTACGAAAACCTCTCGAAAGAGCAGGAGAGAATGGTGCAACATAAACTGAAGGTAAGTCTATCCTGGGCCTAGTCCTTGCCTGACAGATAATGCTTTGGTATTTAAAGAAGAAATAGGTCAAAATATGAAGTAAAATAATAGTCTCACACAGAAAGACTTAAAAACAATTGGTTTAATAAAATCTGAAGTCCATCAGGATCCTGCTAAGTCCTTAAATTCACAAAATTCTAACACCTTCTTTAGTGTTAGACTTGGGAGAAAACAATGATTTGAGCTGCTATTTGTTGTCATTGGAGTCCTGTTGTGATGCTGTGGATTAGTGCACTGGACTATAAAGTTGGTTGAACCACAAGGTCAGCAGTTCAAGCTCACCAGTCACTTCACAGAAACCCTATGCAGGGTCTCTATGGGTCGGAACTGACTTGACTACACTTAACAACAACAATTTCTTGTAATTATAGAGTAGTCTTAGTATGTCCCAGTGGAATATGTACTGAGTTCTATGTTGTTGTTGCTATATGCCATGGAGTTGGTTCTGACTCATAGCAACACTGCATAGGGTTTCCAAGGCTGTAACTCTTTATGGGAGCAGAAAGCCTCATCTTTCTCCTGCAGAACAGCTGGTAGTTTTGACGGTAAAATTAGCAGTCCAATTCATAATCACTACACTACCAGAGCTCCTTAGTTCTATAGTCCATAGGATTTGGGGTACAACAACAAAGAAAACTAGAGTAAATCTATCAGGTCTTGAAAGTATCAGGTTTGGCCTGATATGAAATACAGGGTGCTCTGAAACGTGCTATATTTATTACCAAATCTGCCTGAGTCTTCTTATGCATTCTGGGGAAAATGTATTTGTTGTCCTGACTTGAACCCTGAAAAACAGTTTTCTATACAGGGCTAGGATTTACCACTATTTGTTAGATGTGTGTGGCCAGGCTTCCTCAGTTGTAACTAAGAATTAATTCACATCAAACATATGTTGTTGTTGTTAAGTGCCATTGAGTCAGTTCTGACCAATAGTGATGCTCTATAGTGTTTCTGAGAAACGGTTGGTGAGTTTAAACCACTGATCTTGTGGTTCAAACTGACTTTGCAGTCCAGTACATTAACCCACATGTCCACACTAGTACTCCTATCAAACATTTATTCCTTCATCGTTTGAGCTGGAATTCATTATGACCTAACACTTAATGCTCAGCTCTCTTGGTGAATTAGTGGTGAAGGAATTTTAGGGAGGTTTGAACTATAGATACTGTCAATATACAGGTTCAAACATGTAAAGGCACTAGACAAACATCATAGATCCCTCTAAATAGAAAGAGAAATACACATGCATACTTACACCTAATGGGGTTGTTAAGTGCAAAATGATGACTCTTTATGATTGCATTTTTCAAAAGTTACTCTTTCCCATTATAGGTTCAAGAAGAAATGCTTACAGAAGGATTTAAAAAGCAAGCTGAGGAGTTACATAAAGAAATAAATCAACTAGAGAAAGAAATAGAAGAAACTCGAAAGTCACGCTCACTAATTTCAAAGTTCCTTAGCATAGCTGGCACTGTTCTGATGGTGGTCCTACCTGGTGTCGGTAAAATTTTGGGGGCAGTGGTGGCAGGTGTTGGTGCATTTTTTGACTAGATTAGAATTCTTGTTACAAAGATCATAAAACGAGGCTTCCTTTGTTTTAATAGCATAATACAGTTGGTCACTATGTATATATATACCCTTCTACTTTCATTCAAAAACAGTTTTAAAATAAAGATTCCTAAAGTGATTGTCAAAGTTTGTGTTCCTCAAACTAAGTTTTGATTTAATTAATTGAGAAATGAGACTCAGACAGTTAGAAGGTAACTAGATTATTCACAGAAACAAACATTTTATTGTTAAGTGCTGCTGACTGGGTTCGGACTCACAGCAACATTGTATGGGGTTTTCAAGGAGCATTGGGGGGTTTGAACCATTAACCTTTCAGTTTACAGTCCAGTGTTTGCTAAAATTAAAACAGAGAAAATACTTGTACCTGGAATGGGAACATTTCTATGATGGAATGACTATGTTCAATGCCACTAGAAAAAAACACAAAACAACTTTACTAGAAGGTGTTCATTACAACAAGGATATAAAAAGCACAACACATGCACTCTAACTTTGTCTTCATTATGGCCTCTCAATATTTAATTTTCATGTATAGAGTCTGGGATTTTTCTGGAATGGGTCTAAATTCAATCCCCCAAATTACAACATTGGTGTATTAGAAGCATAATTTGTGTTCAAGGTCTACTTAATTTTTTAGGAATTTCTATAGAGTTCATAAGTGACTGCTATGGCTACGTGTGGTGCTGTAGAACAAGAATTGAACCACAAGGTCAGTTTAAACTGCCTGGTTGCTAGTTCAAACTCAACAGTCACTCCTCAGAAACCCCATACAGGGTCGCAATGAGTCAGAAAGGACTCAACAGCACTGAGCAACAACAACAGCATGGCTAAAATACCCTGCTTATAATTCCAAAAGCTAGCCATGCTATTTCTCTTGATTGTGGGCTTTTCCCCAGTTACAGACTTTTTAACACAACACTGTTTTCTAACTGTTTGCTAACTTCTGTTTCTCATTAACTTTTTACCTTTCCTGATGTCCTAAGACTAAATGAGGTGTCCTTCTGTGCTGCCATTGAACTATGATGTCACTCCAATTTAAAAAATATTTACATAATTATGAAATTAATATTACCTATTTATATCTGTCAATACTTCCACATTTGATCTCTTCCTCTTATTCTTAGCTACAGCACATAGTCTGTCACATAACATCACATATTCA